ACCAGCAGGAAGTGTAGTGTCCAAGAGGGGATCCAGGAAGAGGTCAACAAAAGCAAAATATGAATGAAAAGGACGCAATGAAACACATTACTTTGCATGGAAAGATTTAAACACCGAAAGAAAGAAAAAGCAAAAGCAAGGAAGGCCTTGGAGAACTAACTGGGTGGATTTACTTCCGGATTCTTTCTGTCTATTAATGTAGAAGTCAGTCACAGTGCTGTGCCTAAGTCCCAGCTACATCATAGGCCAAAGCAGGAAGACTGTGAATGTGAGGTCGGCCTGGGTGATGACGGATCAGGAGAGAAAAACAGGAGAGGAGAAGAAACAACAGATTAGTCAGGGACAGAGATTGATACCTACTGTTCTAACAAGTGGCCAAGCCTCCTGGTTCCCCCCAACACCAGGGACACCTCAAACCAGGTCATACAAGGCAAGCTGCCCTGGGCGCCCGAGGGACCAGGGGCTGTGCAGGGTCACACGCTCACTTCACACGCTCACTTCTGTGTCCTCTGAGTTCGTTTGGGATTCTTTCTTCTGGGGTTCCACATCCACCACTTTCTCCACCTTGGTGGTGCCCACGAGGATGGCCAGGCGCTGGGCTACCGTCTTGGTGTCAGGGAACAGGATAAAGTTGTAGATCAGCGAAGCCAGGACAGCCCCTGTGAGGGGTCCCACCCAGAAGATCTGAGGACACAGAAGTCAGCGTGAGACAGAAGTCAGAAGCACGGGGTGATTTCAGAACCCTGCCTGCTTCCCTCAGCCCTGGCTCACCCCCAACCCCAGCCCCAGGGACTCTCAGTGCCTACAGGGGTGAGGGGCCTTGCCTTCCCTGGAGGGTGGAGCCAAAGCTAAAGCTGGGCCTCCAGTCCTCTCCCACGGCTGCCTCTTCCTCTCACCTCTCCTGTTTTAGCCCTGACTGTTGCGATTTCTATCTCTGCTTCTGTGTGGTCTATTTCTGTTTGTCTTTTTCTTTATTCAAGTTTGAAAATTGGTCCAGCTGGAGAAAGTGAAGAAGGAAACAGCCAGAACATAAAGCCTGAGCCAAGGCTACAGCTTCTGCCCTGGCCCATTTCTTGTGAGTCCCTGGATACTGCAGGATATTGGAGCCGAAAGACAGACAAGCCAGGATGCTCACCTCGGCTTTATGAATGCAGGGAAATCTGCACTCCTGGGTGGTCTAAATGACCTGGCGACAAGACGGTTGATTCCACACCGTGTGGATTTCCTGATGGTAAACCCCCCTAACTCTTCCTCCTGCCTCATCCTCCACACCCCCAAGCCTACCAGTGCAGGGGCTCACCCAGTGGACCGCGAACTTCCCAACAATGACGGCGGGACCGAAGGAGCGAGCTGGGTTCATGGAACAGCCAGTGAAGTAGATCTGGGGGTGTTCAGGATCAAGTATGAGGAGATTTGAGGCAGCCTGGGGGAGAACATTCCCCCTCTGCCCTGGCTCAGACACCCCCTCGACTAGCCCCGTATTACAGGACACTACCTCAGGCCATAAGACAGGAGGGGCTGGGGGAGAGACACTTCCTGGCCTTTAGGGTTTTGTAGCTTCTGCAGGGAGAGTTCCAGTGTGTGCACATGCATGGTGTCCTTCTTTGTCCCTTACCCCAATGAGGTGGCCCAGTGCCACAGAGGTCCCGATCATGGCCGCTGGGGAGCCCAAGGTCTGCCGACTGTCCGTGGAAGCAAAGACACAGAGCACCAGCTGCAGCGTCAGAATCAACTCCACGGCCACCGCCTGGCCGGTTGACGTGCTGTTGTGAACCTTGGGAGAGAAGAGTACCCCAGAGAGGACATGGGCGCTGGCCCCGGGACAGTGAGAGTCCCTGTGTCAGCCTTCTCAACCGTGAGGGGTGGTACTCACAGCATCAGAACCTAAGGTCTGTGCCGCGGCCGCCGGCTCACATCATATCCCGAACAGGGATGCCTGTTCCCTGTGGAAGGTACCTCCCCCACTCTGCCACGGAGTCAGGCCTGTGGTTCAGGGGCTGACACAGCAGTACAGAACGAGAAAGCTTGAGGACAGATTGGAGGAGGACAGAATGGAGGAGGACAGAATGGAGGAGGACAGAATGGAGGAGGACAGATTGGAGGAGGCCTGTGGGCAGCAGAGTAGGTAGAGCAGGGGTGAGGAGGGGAGGGAAGCAGGCCCCAGGAAACTGGGGAAACGGCAGAGCAAGGACACACAAGCCGGGCACTGCAAGCAAGACAGTTCCGGGTAGGGCCTCTCGCTCTCCCTCAGTCCCAGCCCTGCCGCCCGCCTGCTGTACAGCCCTTAGCTGCCTGGTCCTCCTGACGCCCTCCCCTCCCTGTGGCCTTTCTCTGCCCCATGCATGCATCGGTACCCCACAGTTCCATCCTTGTCCTGCCGAGATGAACGCCTAAGCCCATTCTTCTGGAACCCAGGGGCCTGCTCGGGGCAGCTAAGGCATGCCAGGCTGCGGGGCATCTAAGGCGTGCATGCGTGCATGCGTGCGTGTGTGAGCGGCTGCATCATTTCCCCATCCCTGCCTTTGCTCCCGTCTGGCCTCCCACCCCGACCACCTGACTCTCTCCCGCGCCCTATCACCTACCACGTTCACTCCAAGGGTCTCTCGGACACCTCCTGGAGTTACCCCGTAAAGAAGAGCGGCCCCAACGGTGGCCCCCGCCAGCTGGGCGGCTATATAGGCCATAGCCCGAGGCAGAGAGATGTGAGAGCCCACGAGGTAAGCCAGTGTCACAGCGGGGTTGGCGTGGGCCCCGCTGGTCTTCCAGGAGACCTGCACAGCTGTGGCCGTGGCCAGGTTGAAGGTGATGGCGATCTGGAGTACAGAGGGAAGGGCCACAGGCCAGGGCAGGACGGAGCCCACACCAAAGAACACGTACAGCCCTGTGGCCAGGAACTCGGCAAACAGCGCCTTGCTGATGGCGGTCCAAAGCCTGCCAGCCAGTAGGTAAGCCCTGCAACACAGCCCTGGCTCCATGTCTCGTCTCCCTGGCGTCAGGTCGGCCAGTCTCGCTCCTCCCTGACTCTCTCTGTCCCTTGTCCCCTGCCCGACTCCCTGGCCTCACTCTCTGTGGCGGCGCCCCCAGCCCGGCTACACTGCCTCCCGCACACTGCAGTCCTCAGGAGCGAGCTGCTCAGGCTGATGGCATTATGCATGTCTGGGGGTGGGAGGTACAGAGGGCAGTGCTCACGTGCCTGCTCCACCTGACAGGGGGGCCAGGCCAGTAAGGGGGTGACGCTGGGCACTGAGCTGGAACCTCCCAGGACAGCCAAACGGTGGCTGCCCAAAGAAGTCTAGCCTGAGACCCAGAGACTCGGGACGGATGTCAGGTCCCCGGTGCCAGCTCAGAGACAGCTGGATCACCGAGAACCCCAAGTCCAAGGCCTGCTTCAGGGTTTCCCGTGTCCTAATCTTCTAGTCCTTCCTCTGAAGAGGTGGGGGTGTACTCTGTACCCCGTGAACCTAGGTGTGAAATGCAGTTCTTTCCACCACTCCCAAGTTGCAGATGTGGACAGAGTCAGTTTTACCGAGGATGTGGTCCTGGGTGTGCGGAAAGGAACATCGGAATTCCCGTTCACCGTGTAGTCCCTCAAACTACGCCAGCTGCCGCACGTGGCCCCGACGAGTTCTACTGTCACGGGTGGGGGTTTCCTCCAGTTCTTCCCTCATTTCCTGCCTCTCTCTCTTCTCTCACTTCTGCCTGTCTACCTCTCAGAGCCCCCCAAACCCTGTGACTTATTAGTCAGGTGGTTACTACTTTGCGGCCTTGATGGCCCTAAAGTGTCACCCATCCCTAGGCTGTATCCCTTTGTTCCCCAGCAGCATAAAAAGGCATTTTCTCAAACAAAGGTGTTCCCTCTGCGGGGCTGCCCAAGCAGTACCCCCCCCCTGCCCTGCCCTGGCCCCTGGCTGCACCTGCTCACCCACAGACGCCCCTGGTTATCCTCGGGCTCCTCAGTCTGTCTCAAAATGCAGCCCTCACCTCTGCCCACTTTTCTGTACTTCGGCTCAGTTTGGTGGCACCTAAGAAGTGTCCTTGACCCCCTTTCCCCACAAAGGCATCTCGCCCAGCTGGGTCTGAGCCCGCCTGCCTCCGGGCTGTTACCGGCCTCCTGCCGCCCTGCAGCCAGTCCGTGTCCTCACTTCGCCCTGGACTGTTCTCCACACTACAGTCCGAATCGCGTTTCAGAAACACAGCGATCGGCCGGCTGCTGCCCTGCTGGAGTCTCTGCTGGGGCTCTGCCACCCTCTTCGGAGGAGCTCCGAGACCAAGTGACAAGGTCCTCTGGGACCCCACTCTTCCAGCCTCCCCCAACCTTCTTCCTTTGCCTCTCAGCATCCTGGGGTGAGCATCCCCCCGAGACTCGAGACTCTCACCTCTTCGTGGAGAGCCTCATCACTCCCTTTGCCTGGGTAACTCCTAACCCACCCCTGAGGTCAGCGTCCAGTGTCACCCACTTCTGCCCCGGGTAAGGATATCTCCGTGTGTTGTTATCGTACCTAGGCATTTTTATACACAAGCCAACACACCGTATTGCTATGGGTGTTAAAGTGTTTCCTCAACAAGGTGATAAGCCCTGGGGGAAGGAATCACATTTTGTTCATCTCTCTACATAGTGTCTTGCACGGAGACCCGCTACACTAGATGCTCAATAATGAGAGCAGGTGACTGTCACGTTGGCTTCATTCCGGTCTGCTGTTCCTATGGCTGCCCTCCTGCCCCCTCATAGGACGGAACCCTCTGACACCTTCAAAGGAGCCATCCAGTTCTGCACAGCCTCTGCTCTACCCTGCCCCCCATCTCAGTCCCGGGCAAACCCCTCCCCTCCTGCTTCTGTTCTTCCAGATGTCCCGGCCTTCCCTTCCTCTCCTCAGAGGAACCCTTGGTGTCTCACTGGGCACAGCTTGCTCTTGCCAATGCCCGGCTGCTGGTCCCCACCCTCTCCACCACCCCATTCTCATCCCCATCCGCCTCTCTGCCTGGTCTGCGCTGCCAGGCCCAGCTGGCGGGACTGGACGCCACGCGGGCACAGCCGTAATGGCAGGGGTCTGCGTCTCCTCTGTGCCTCTCCAGCCCCTTCCCCAGCTTCTTGTTGACATGATGCCTGGTAATCAGGAATGGTGGGGGACGCCAGCTTGGAGTCAGTTCCAGTCTCTTTATGCTGGACACCCTTGACCCCCCAGGCTGGACCTGCTGGGGCCAGGTACCCATGCTCTCCTGGCCTCATCGGGAGCAGAAGCTCTGCCCAGGAATTCTTCCACTGTTTCACAGGCCCCAGATGATTCTCCCCCCTTTTTTGTTTGTTTATTTGTTTGTTTGGTTTTTTTTTTTTTTTTTGAGACAGGGTTTCTACCTGTGTAGTCCTGGCTGTCCTGGAACTCACTCTGTAGACCTGACTGGCCTTGAACTCACAGAGATCCGCCTGCCTCTGCCTCTCAAGGGCTGGGATTAAAAGCTCTCTCCACTCTTGAAAATTATTATTAATTTTTTTTTACATTTTCATTTTATTGTGTGTATATGAGTATACGCACATACAGTGTTCTGAAGACGCCTTGTAGGAGCCAGTTCTCTCAGGTGGGTCCTAGGGGTTGAACTCAGATCTTCAGGCTTGGCACAGTATCTCTACTCACTGGGCCACCCCACCCTGTCCATCTCCCCCATTCTTCAATCCTCTCTACTCTGCACAAACTCCTAGTTCCCTCTGACTTCCTGCAACTGTGAGTCAAGCCGGCCTGTACCTCCTTTCCTACCTAGACAGCCAGGCCACCAGCAAGCCTTTGCCACACACCCCAACCCCCCAACCCCGCTTCTCCCCGCCGAGAGATCAACGGTGACCCACACCCTACCCAGCTGCCCATGGCTCTGAACAAGAGGTGGCCGTCGATGGCTTCCTTTGACCTTCCTTAGTGTCCAACATGCAAGGGGAGACTGCTCCCCCCCCCCATCTTTACTACAGCTGGGACAAACACCGTGTCCCTTCTGAGTCCTCTCCACGATGCAGACGCATTTCTCCCCCCCC